AATCCCCAGCACCAAATAAATGAAATAAATAAATCAACAGGATGAAACTGACCGAATTATAGTTACATTGTGTGAATGCACAAACATGGAACATCAAATCTCACTGTCATAGATGGTTACATGCCAGGCCGGGGCTGTGGCTCAGTGGTTGAGCACTTGCCTCGCATGTGTGAGGCGCTGGGTTTGATCCTTGGCACTACATACAAAAAATAAATAAATAAAATAAAGATGCTGTGTCCGTCTACAACTAAAAAAATATGTTAAAAATGATTACATGCCAATAAAAAGGAAAAAAGAAAAGTGAAATACCATAATAATAATAATAATAATAATAATAATAATGAAAATAAATAAGAATGGCAGGTGGCATCAATAAAATACACCTCCTGTGGCCAGCAGGAAGAGCACTCTTTTGCTTCTTTCAAACCCCAGCCAGTCTTGGAGCTGGGTTTGGGTTTCCTGCCTGGACTCTGATTGACAGGCTTAGGGATCTTTGGCAGCAGGTGTCTTCCGCTCGGGGACAGCTTGGAATTCCTTTCCAAAGTCCCACGGGGACAGTAGACTGCTGAAGACAGGATCAGAACACACAGCTCTCTGTGTCCTGCCAGGGTCCTGGGGCCACTGAGGCAGCTTCATGGAGAGGGTGGGGCTGGCTGGAGCTGGAAGGTCACATGGAGGTTTTGCTGAGGCAGGAGGGAAGGGCAGGTCAGGGAGGGTGAGTCAATGTCAAGGCCTGGGAACAAGCAGGCCTGGGTCCCTCTCAGGGCTCTGCTCCTGCCAGGCCATGGGACCTGGGGACAACTCCGCTCCTCCTGGTCCCCCCAGTGCAAATAAGGGCCGGGGACTAGAACTATGACTGGGGAACTATGATGTGCCAGCAAATCCCCCAGAGATCTTATTTAAATGCAAATTCTGACTCCCAGGGTGCCTGCATTTCTAGTGTGCCTGATGCTGCTTCTAGAACTGGGGACGACAGGGCAGCAGGTTCCCTCCTAGCCCGGCGATTCTGTAACCCTGCTTCAAGTTCAATGCACTTTTCTAAGATGGGGCCCACACTCCTGAGAACACGGGCTCTTGCTGGAAGATGATAATCCTAGGAAGACCCGCGGCATGGATCGCTGCATGGTGCTTCGGGGTTAGGGGTTTGACTCTGCAGATCTACACTCGCACACAAGCTCACATGCAGGCACCTGCTCGGGACCTTGAGGCATGTAGATTTGCAAAGTATAAATAGTAACGCCAGTGGTAATCCAGCAAGGTTTGCAAGTTGTGGACATCTACCTGAGATGCTAGGAGACCCCACGAGCAGGGCTGGCCCCCCAGATCCACAGCCCCTCACGCCAGAAAGAAGTTAAGGAACCCGAGGCTCCTTCCCTCCTCCTTCCCTCCTCCTTCCGCTCTTTGTCCCTGAAATTGGCAGCATCTGAAATCACAGCACTAGGTTCATTTTACTGAATTCTGATGGCTTTGGGGTCCCGAAGGAGCTTCTGTTAAAATGGAAATTTCTCAGCAAGAAGAAATTGTTACTGAACTGTGAGGAAGAGCAGTCCTATAACCAGTGGGGCCCTGATTCCCGACCCAGGCTGGTCCAGGCAGATAGCGCTGGGCATATCTGGGTCCCTGACAGAGGCTTTGGGTCACACCCATGTGGAATCAACTCCTAGGTCACTGTTTTGTTTGTATTTACAGCACTGGGCATTGAACCCGGGGGTGCTTTCCCACTGAGCTGCATCCCCTGCCCTTTTTATTTTTTATAAATAAATAACAGGCTCTCCCTACGTTGTCCAGACTGGCCTGGATCTTTCAATCCTCCTGCCTCAGCTTCCTGAGCCGCTGGGATTACAGGCGAGTGTCACTGTGCCTGGCTAACTCCTAGGTCACTTTAAAAATTCATATTTATGTGGCAGCCTTTGGGAATACAGTTGTGACAAGCCAGATATCATCCTTAGAGTATGGTGAGAAGAATGGGGCTTATGAATATTTAGAGCTAACTCAGATCATCCCTGTCAACTCCTGTCCCACAGATTTCCCATGCATTTGATTTCTCATAACAGTAGGCACTATTCTCCTGCTTGCTCTACAGTTGAGAAAATCGAAGACCAGAGAATCAAATGAACTGCCCAAGGTCACACAGCATGAAACGGCAGAGCTGGGGTTTGCAAGTGAGGATTCTGGGAACACAGCTCACACTCTTCATGACTGAGTTGCGAGCTTGTCATCTGAACCAGTGATTCTTCCTGTGACCTCTTGCCAAAGAGGAGGGCAAGAGTTTATTTTATTTTTATTTTGAGGTGGGGTCTTGCTATATTTCTTGAACTCCTGGGCTCATGATCCTTCCTCAGCCTTAGCATGTTGGTATATGTTAACTGGGACGATAGCGTGTACCAACATCGCCCCCCACTCCAAAATCTGAGGCTGAGATTTTCTCTTTCCTTTGCAGAGGAGGAAAGGAGCTCACGTAGGTCATGCAGCCTGTGGGGGCTGATGTTTGAAGCCAGGTCCAAGTGACTCCATCACTGGAATTTGGAACACTGAACTGAGCCACTGGGCAGGCCATGTGACCTCTCTATGGACTCTTCTGGAGAAAGACAGCCACCCTGTCTACCCTTGGAGGTTGTCAAGAGGATTAAATGGGATAATTAACCCGAAGAGATGGAAGCAGGACAGGGCTGATCACCGCCACTAATGGAGTCCAGCAACATGGCAAACCTGGGGTCAGTGTCCTGGTGAGCTCTCCCCTTCCCTCCCACTAGAAGGCACCTCCCCTCACATTTGATAAGTCAGCACTTCCAAAAGGAACCGCAAGAGGGCGATGCTTGCTCATCAGGAAGCTGCTGTGACCATGAGCTTCCAGGCAATCCCGGGTGGACACTTTTAGAAGCATTTTATTTTATTTTATTTTTTGCAACTTTATTGACATACATTTTAGATGCCATAACATTCTCTCATTTAAAGTGTCCAGGGGCTTTTTGTGTGTTCACAGAGTTGCAAAACCAACCCTACCATCTAACTTTAGAACCCCGTCAACACCCCCAAAGAAACCTGGTGCCCATTAGCAGGCACGTGGAGCAGGCAGTGATGGGCCTGAAGGAGAAGCTGCTCTAATCGTGGGATTGGGGGCCGCTTGGAAGATCCCCTGGGGCACATGGGGGTACGTGCCACAATCCAAACCTGCCACGGGAGAGAGGTTCCCGCGGGAGAGCATGTTCCACTCCCCAGTCATCAGATCCAAGATCTAATTGCATTTGTTGTATAAAGAGGGGGGCAAGAGCTGCCCACGTGCTCCAGAAAGCAGAGGGGAGGTGCAGGAGAGCTCCAACTACCTCCAGGAGATTCACAGGAGGGAGTTGGGATGGGGGAGGCAGCTGAGTCGTGTCTCTGTACCTTGCAGCTATTCTTTCCACAGCAGCCAGAGGGGGCTTTCAAAAATGGGAATCGGATTGTGTCATTCTTGTGCTCAAAGATCTGATGCCTTCCCCTATCTTTGGGGACAAAACTCAGAGTCATCATGGCCTCCCAGACTCATCATGGCCTCCCAGACTCATCCCAAGTCTGCTTCCCTTTGCTCTCTTCTGGCTTCGCTGGCTGCTCTCCTGGTCCTGTGCAGGGCCTACACCAGCCTTTGGCAAATAGAAACAGGGGGACCCTCTTGGCGGACAAAGGAGAGGGAATTTTGCTTCCCGAGACTGGTGCCTTTTTATAGTGTACAACCTATGCAACTGAACACAGAAGTCCTGCCTTAAACACACCAAACCCCTGAAGAGACAGGATTTTGACATCCATGAGGAGTGAAGAGAGCATGGGCTCTGATGGCAAAGGGATAAGAATCCCAGCCTTGCCACTTGCCAGTTGTTGATGTGGGGAGAATGATTCAATTTAAGAGGACCGAGCAAGTCCCCCCTGGGAAGATGTGCTGGCTCCCATGAGTGTTTGGTCAATAGTCCTCCTTCCCGCGTGGCCCTAGAGCCTCAACTCCATTCAGCAAAAACAGATGATAACTGACCTATGTGTGTTAACATACCTTTCATCTGCTTTTCTTTGGTACAAAGGCACCTCTCCATCCTCCCCACCGCCAGCCCGGCTGAAGTCCGAATAACAGATCAGGTTCCTAATTAGCACCAGCTCCTTTCCATTTGTATCCTTCCAAAGCTTCCAGATGGCACAAAAGTACCATTTTGTTAACTCAATTTGGTGGTGTCTTCCTCCACGCCCCCCACCTGCTTCAACCCATTAGGGGTATTCTTGCAGGTTCTAGTTTCAGATCAAACATCCCCAGCTCAGAGAGGCCTCCCAGGACTGCTGGACTGGCAGGAAGTCCATCTAATGGCTGGGATGATCCAACTGGTGTCCCATGGCAGGAAATGCCACCCCCTACACATACCAGGACATCCACCACAGGCCCAAAGCAGTCTGGGCTGGTGATCTGGCTTCCATGTCAGGTCGGGAGAGTTGTGGGGAAATGCACCCAAGGATGGCCTGTCTTCCCAGGCCCAGTGTTCCATAGTGGGCACCATGACAGGGCAGAAGGGCTTGGACCAAGGGAGCCATCACTTTGGGCTGGAGCCCAAAGGCACTGCGGGAAGCCGGGCTGTGCAGGACAGCTGTTCAACAGCGACACCGTGTGGTGATGACAGGAACCAGCACCCAGCGTTGGCTACACAGGAATAAACTGTGCAAGATCATCATTAAACAGCGACACCTTATGGCAATAGCAGGAACAACAGCCCAATGGGCTGGCCTGGGGAAGCGCCCTCCCTTTGGACTAAGAACCCCAAGAACACTTGGGGTGCAGGCGACTTTCTGCTCATGTAAACATGGCGGGGGACTCAAGATATTAGTCGTGGAAATGAAGAGGCAATTGTATCTGAGCTGTACATTGGCATTACAGGCCATGCTGGTTATAGACAGTGAATGAATGAATGAACATTAAAAAAAACCAAAAAACAAAAAACATAGTACCAACACACAAAATCACAGAAAAAACAGATGTTTGTTTTGCCTTTTTTTTTTTTTTTTTGGGAGGGGGAAACCCAAAGAGAAATATTACAGTTACAATCAAAACGCGATTCCTGGAGGATACATTGTGAAGACGACGTTGACAGGTGCCCAGAAACCTTGAAATACGCACCACGCTCTTTTCCAATGATCAGGCTCCCCATGTTTAAATCATTTCTGGATCTGAGTTCAGAGAAATTTGCAAGGGGCTCTCAATCAAGATCTAGCTAGGATTCCCTGGAGCAAGGTGGCCCGGGCCATGGCCCCTACCCCGCTGTACCCCCGATGACCTCACACAAGGTTAACGTCGGCTCCGAACTGCAGGAAATTCTGGGGAGAGATGGAGTGTTGTCAGCAGCTGGAAGTGAGTTTGGGGGTGGCTGCGTTTGTAAGAGGGAGGCTTTGGAAGCCTGCCTGTCGGGCTGGGGAGAGCCACGCGGGGCCTGTCTGCTGCCAGAACCACGGAAGCCAGCGGGGGCACTGGGGTCTGGTGCTGGGTCTCGCATCAGCAGCTGGCAGCCTGGGGATGTGCCGCCCGCCTCCCTGGCAGCTGTTTCCTTCTCTGGCGGAGACCCCCAGGCTGTTTGGGAGCCTTCATTTGTCATCCCTGCCTCATGGCAGCTCCAGGGAGTCCCTGTTCCAATCAAGGCTGCAAAACCTCTTCTCTCTGCTCCTTCATGCCCTTCACTCAGAACTTTCAGAAGTGAAGAAATTAAATTGCACCAAGGGGTCTTTTTAAAAAAAACGATGAACTTGGTAAAACATGGGGATCGGGGAGGAACCCCTCCTCCACTCTCTGGGTTAGTCTCCCCCAGTCCCTCAGGCCCAGCAGCTCCTTGCTCTAAAGAATTGGGGGTTGACTGACTGGACACAGAGGGTGTGGGGGGGTATGAGGATTGAGGAGCTGGGTGATGTGGGGGCTTCCCGGGAGGGCCACATGTTGTCAGGAACGTGACACTGGGTGACAGCTTTGTTGTGGAGATAACAGCTCTGTTGGGGTGTGTTGTGGAAGGGGCCTGAGGGTGGAGGGTGGGGCAGATGGCAAGTGCCAGAGGCAGGAGTTGGGGGAAACTAAGGAGGCTGGGGAGTGGCCGGGTGCTGGGTGGTCCAGAGGTGGCAGGTGAGGTGAGGAACTCTGAGTGACCAGGGAAAGCCAACGGTGGGGAGATCTTCAGCACGCAGGGGAGGGGGCTGGGAACACACAGGAGACTCGGAGAGCTGGGGAGCCAGGAGCAGAGGGGACCAGAGACCAGGCACCCGGGACGGGTGGAGGGCAGGCTGGGCAGGAGCCAGCAGGGGCCTCCTCGGCTGCCCCTCAATCTGCCAGGCGCTGACCCCACTTCCCACCCCACCACGCCTACCCCCATGCCAGGGTTGTGAGGGCTTGGCATGGCACCAAGGATGCTTCGCGCCAACGATAAGCTGTTGCTACGGGACAGGTGACCTCGGGACACTTGGGGGACTTACCTGGTGGGACTGAAGCAGCAGGTTGTAGAGCTGGACCCGGGCAGGCATGGGGAGGGGGAAGGCTGTCTTCAGCTTCTCTGTGACAGATGGTGAGGGCCAGGGGAGGAAAGAGGAGGCCGGGGTGCCGGCTCGAGGGAGGGGCTGGCATGGGCGTGTCCCCACCATCTTGTCCTCCATTGGCCTCAAGGCACCTCCTAGGACCCATGTGGGTGTCCACCTCCGTCCTCCCGGGAGTGCAGGGCCACTGGTGTGCGCCAGGGGGCAGTAGCTCGCAGTGGTGTGGGCAGGGCGGGGACCTGGGATTAGGGGTGTCTGTGCGCATGTGCGCACGGCCCTCACTGCTAAACTGGGAGCTGGAGATGGGCGGTGGCCGGGAAGGCTCTCCCTGTACCTCCAGGAGAATTCTAAATCCCAGTCCGTCCCCAGGTCACTATGCAGCTACGTGTGTCAGGGTAGGAGGCCAGATCTTACTCCATGTGATATTTGGTCGGCCTTGTTTATAGTTTCCAGATACCCAGGTCACATGTGAGTGGCCCTCCACTGGTCCCGTTGCCCCTGGCTCTCAAAGGCGAGGGGCAGGTCTCCTGGAGTTCTTACAGCTTGGTGAGTGTGACCTTTCAAGAGGTTAGCAGGAGACTCCAGCCTTTCTCCCAGAGTTGGAGAAAGATGGCAGCCTCTGGCTTCCGAGCTGGGATCAGACCCAAGTTCCTTCTCTCACCTGCTCTGTGACCTGACCTAGGCCACTCAACCATTCTGCTCTTTCACTTCCTCCTGTGAAACCTAGAGATACTCACGATCCCCATCTCACTAGGACGTTGCAAGGACCGACTGAAGTACCAGCCGACATACAGGAACTTTGGGGTTCCACCCCTTTCTAGGTCAGATGCCATTTGAAGTTCATGTGGCCTCACAGCTGGGCCAGGCAGGAGGTGTCCCCTAGACCATCAACTCCACCCTCTTTCCCTAGGACTAAAAGCCGATCATTTCTCCAAAGCTTCTTACCGTTGACCCTGGGCAGCAGCACAGTGTGTACTACGTAGTCCATGACAGTCTGCAGCAACTCCACCTGGACACCAGGAGAAAGGCCCACGGGGTCAGGGCAGCAGCCCCCCAGCACCCTGCACCCCACCCAGGAGCCTCAGCAGCTCCCAGCAAGGAAAGCAGCAGCCTGACAGAAGCCACATGATCTCTTCTGTTCTGAGCTTCCGGGTGCAAGAACCTATTCTAAATTGTAAGGTGCATCATCTTCAACCCCACAGAGATGATGACAAAGGACACCAGCAAACCTTTGCTTTAAAAAGAGTCACTGCAGGCTAGAGGACAAATGGAATCACCCTTTTTAAGGGCTATTTGGTCCAGTTCATCAAAAGCCTTAAAAACCTGTGGGCCTTTGCAGCCAGCAAAGGTGCCTCCAAGGTGTTCATCCCAGGCGCATGATCTAGCAAAGATGCTAACCAAAGTGAAAAAAGTAACTCCAACCATAAATTGAGAGCAATCTACATGTCCAACAATAGGGGAGTCACTTGAGAGAAATGAATGGTACATTGATGCAAGAAATCGTTAAAGAAACATGATAATCAGCACAGAGATATGCTCACTCTATGTTTAAGTGGGGGAAAGGCTGTTACAGAAATCACAGGATACCTTTAAAAACTTTTTTCTTTTTGGACCTGGGGATTGAATCCAGGGCCTCACACGTTAGGCAAGTGCTCTGTCACTACTGAGCTATATACTCAGCCCACATAATGCCATATTTTCTCTTTGGGGTACTGGGGATTGAACCCAGGGGTGCTTAACCACTGAGCCACATCTCCAGGCCTTTTTAATTTTTGATTCAGGGTCTTACTAAGTTGGTGAGGCTAGTCTTGAACTTGTGATCCTCCTGCCTCAGCCTCCTGAGTAGCTGGGATTACAGGCATGCGTCACTAGGCCCTGTCATATCATGTCATTTTTTTTAATTAAATAGGCAGAGCAACAGGTCAGGGAGGATATATTCCAAATTATGAATTAAGTGGGGGAAATATGAATGACTTTTATTTTCCATGTTTGGTAAACTTGCAGGTTCTGAATGCTCTATAGTGGATATATTTTTTTTTTGCTTTGGCAGTAATAAAAAAAATTCAAAACCAATATGAAGCCATCAAGATGACTGACCACAGAGGTGACATTTACAACTTGTAAATGTGTATGTTTTTGTTTTTGCAACAATTGAGTTTCCTTTCCCGGGCTGTAATTCCCTGGGCTCACAAATGTGGTGTCCTCCTTCATCTGAGTTCTGGGAAATTCACATTTTGATTTTCTGCAGAAGCAGAAGCCGATTCCTGACTCAGTCTCGCTCCCCAGGAGCGGGGGCCCGGCACTCCATGGAAGCACTCTGGGGTTGCTCTCAGGCTGGATGTGACCTCTCAGGATGGAAATGGCTGGCTGGATTTTGATCAGATTTGGAGAGGGGATTGCCAAGGTCTGACTCCTGGGCTAGGTGGCTTCCAAGGCTTTGTGATGGGGATCTCAGGGGGCATCTCAGGGACCTAACGAGATGCTCACCAAAGCAATGAAGGGTTCAACCAGAGCCCTGCAGGGAATCCAGGCCTCATGGCAAGACCCTGGACAAAATCCACCCCAGGGCTTCACATGTGACACAGGTGGCATTTGAGTGCCTTCTTAATATGGGTAGCTGGTTCCCAGTGCCCCAGTGAGGGCCTCTGGGCGGCTCTACTTGTTGGTGACCAGTGTTTCCCAGGAAGTAACCATCCAGTTGGGCTGAGGAGATACTGTCCCCTCTACCTGCCCCTTCTCGCCTCGGCATGTGACTCTGCTACCCACCGCTGCTCAGCCAGGAGTCTAGATACACCTACGCGTCCTGATCACACCTCTCACACTTGCTCTCCTCCTCACTGTCCTACCCCCCATTCTGGTTTTCATGGCTTTGATGGTGATGGAATCTTCGTTCCCTGCTGCCCTGTCTCCTCACTGCTGCATAAGGCTCAGCACATCGCCATAATTACTTTATTGGGCACATAGTAGGTGCCCAATAAAATAATTAATCTGTCCAACAAATATTTGTGGAGCAGTTTTTTTTTGGGGGGGGTTGGGTACTGACTGTGTGTATTTAGCCCCATTTAAGCCTCAATACACTCACTCAGGCCAGGAAAGTCTGGGGCTGAGCAAAGGCCTGGGACTTGCCCACGGCCTCCGTGTTTGGAAGCTGGAGCAAGGACTCTATTTCAACCACCCTCCGCCAAGTTTCCACACCATTAATTCCTCTGCATTCTATGCAAATGAACCAGTGGCCTCCTCAGTGAGGCCAGGAAGGAGCCTGTGAGCCCCCCCCCCACCAGGTCAGGGCAGGGGAGTGGCCCAGGCCTCAGACTCACCTGGAAGGGGCCGATGTTGGAGCGCTTCAGTTTCAGGATCAGCCTGTGAGGAGGGAGGGGACAGTGAGGCCACCAGTAGCCAGTAGTGGGTGCCCAGGTGGGGGAGGGCCGCGGGCTGAGGCCACCTGGCTTCCCACCTAGTGTCCCCCCCACCTTCCCGCGCAGCTGCTGTGCCCTCCTTTGGGAGAGGCGCACGTTCCCTGCAGAGCGGGGGCTGTTGACCCCACCTGGCCCCTGGGTACGCTGGCCACAGGGCGTGGTCCCCTGCTGCAGTCACAGCTTCAAGGATGGGCCTGGGACCCCTGGTGGCCCAGCAAGGCTTGGTCTCAAGACCGCTAGAAATACTGGGCGTCAGCTGCTCTTTTCTACAGCCAGACAGGAAGCTGCACTTGGTGACAGCCTGTAGGACGTGAAGCCAGCACAGGGGACAGCAGAGCCAAGCACAGCATTTGAACACCTGCGTCCCCTCTGGCCTGAAAGTCTAGGACTTTCTGGTCCCCTGCCCTTGACAGCCTGCACAGCATTTTTTACTGTGATCACAGAGAAAAAGGGAGATCCAGGACTCCTTACGGAACCTACTATGTTGAATGCTGTTCCCCACTGAATTCCTGTCCCATTCCAAAAGGCAAAGGCCATGCTGCCATCTTACAGATCAGAAAACTGGCACTCAGAGAGGCCAAGCAACCTGCCCAAGGCCACACAGCTAACAATTAGCAAAGCAGGATTTCCAAAAAGTCTCTTGGGGGCCAAATCCCTGTTGTGTCTAACACCCTTCAAATTTTAAAAACTTGCTGGCCTCAGTGACACACTCCCATGATCCCAGTGACTTGGGAGGCTGAAGCAGGAAGATTAAAAGTTTGAGGCCAGACTTAGCAACTTAGCAAGATCCCGTCTCAAAATAAAAATAGAAAGGGCTGGGGATGTAGCTCACGGTCTAGAGGCCCCGGGTTCAAACCCCAGGGAAACAAAAAAGGGTCGAAGATTTTGCTTGTGTTCCCTGTGGCTGGGCAGCAGGGATCCATACTCCAGGGATTCTCCCACAGACCCCAGCCCCGCCCATTTCCCAGAGTCTCCGCTCCACCCAGCTGTGGCCTCTCTGTCTGCTCAGCTAGAGAGGCCTGTGGGTGTTTCGAGGCAAATTAAATCCACATGTTTCCAAAGCAGTAACACTTGTCAAAATGATACCAGGAGAAATGAACAGCATGTAGACCTCAGGGGCTGAGCGCAAGGTTAAGAAGGACAGCTCTGTGCTGGAGAGGAGGCGGAGACAGACAGGCGGGAATGTGGGTCAAGGCTCATTCCCAACAGAAGGGTGAGGAGGCAGACGCTGCGCCAGGGACCCACCATCAGGTGGGCACATGGCCCCATCTCTCCCACCTCCCTCCCTCCATGTCTGTCTGTGGCTCCCCTTAACGTGCTTTTCCATCTGTCCCTCTTTCTCTCCAGGCCTTTCCTTCCTTCCTTCCTTCCTCCTTTGTGTCTCTCTGTCCCTCTCTCTGAATTTCTCCCTCTTTCTCTGGTTTGCTTTCTCCGTATCTTTTTATGTGTCTCTTTCTCAGACCCTTCTGTTAATTGAGCACCGATTATACCCTATGAAGTGCTCCAGGCACTTCCCCCCATATTAATAGCTCCTCACGGTGATAGTGTTGGCCAGGAATACTTAGCAGGCCCATGGTACAGCCAGGAAGAGGAAGTGGGGAGAGTTTGGAGCTTGCCCTACAAATGCCAGCAGCCTCCCGTCAGAGCTCTGCCCACAACCTCCAGTGCTGGGATTCACACCCAGTCATGTGACTGTCACATGGCTCCCATGTGGGTCTGGACTGTCACCCAGCCAGCAGGGGCTGGGTGTTGAAATCCCAGGGACGGGGCAACAAGCTGAAGTGGGATTTCCCAGTGCCAAGAAAGGCCAGGGTCAGGGGGCGCTGGGCACTGTTGTGGTTCACTGTGGCATGGGCCTCAGAGGGCACCGCCCGCCCCTCCATGTGCCAGCCTGGGATGGACAGGTGTCCTAGGATGTAAGACTTCAGTGCTAGAGCTGGGATATTTCCTTGGCAAACTCAAGCGGTTGGTCATCCTACGACATGTGACATCTCTGAGTATGTCACTGTCTGCAAACGGGCAGATTGTGCCCATGGCCCACATGAGGGAGGAACAGAGGCAAGGACATGTGCTTGGTACCTGGTAAGGTCACTGCTCTCCATTGGCCCCAGGAAGGGATGGGCAGCCTGGCCCTCCTGTCCCCACTCACCTGTCCACCTGCAGCTCTCCAACAAGCCTGTTGGACCTGGCACCGACCTCCAAGGCAGCACTCGCCGTCTGCAAAGCAACAACCCAGGATGATGAGCCTGAGCCCGGGGCCTGGGGCTCTGCAATCCCCCAGGATGGGGGAGAGGGCTCAGCTCCTCGAAGGCTCTGCAGAGCAGCCTGCGTGGTTGGTCCCCAAGGAGCAGGGAGGTCTGCTTGTGCTCCGTGGTGTGGATTACTCTGGACCATCAGCCAGCATCCATCCTCTCCCCAGCTCTGGAAGCAGTTTAGAACTTCCCAGCCACTCTGGGAGGGACCGTGTGAGACAGACCTGGGGGCTGGAGTCCAGGCCAGCTCTGGGTCTCACAGCGCTCATTCACGGATTCACAGACTCTGAGCTTGACGACCCCCTGAGAACCCATTTTATCTGCAAAGTGCCTCTAAGTGCCCAGCCCCCACGGATGAGGAGAGAATCTGGACCCATCCCGGAGGCCACACCAGCTATAAAGCAGCCCTTGGGCATTGTAGGAACCCATCCTCCCAAGTGTCGGTGGAGCAAGAAGGTAGCAAGTGAATAAAAGTGCAAACCAGCGAGGGAATGAGATCCTGAACATGGAGGACCAAGCAAATCCGCAAATGGAGGGGAAAGCAAGGAACGCACGGTGCGGAGACAGGAATGAACAGAAGATGGACGAGCACACGGACAGATCACAGATGCTACAAAGGTGTGGTCGGTGAAGGTGGCACCGCCAACAAACAATTGACCAGCAATGTAATGAATAATTGAATGAATGAATAACTGAGTAAATAAATGAATGAATGGGTGAAAACAATGCACAGATGCCTAATTAAATGGCCACAGACGTGAGTGAATGAATCGGAGTCAGCAGACATATTTGAATGACAGCTTGGGTGGTTGCAAAAGCAAAGACTCAGTGGGTGCCGGGTGAACGGACGCAGGTGGGAGCCAGGAGTGGACGGGGACAGTGGCTCTGGTCTGAGGCTCTGGAGTCACACTACCCAGGCTGGAATCCAGGTGGGATTCATACTCGGTCCCCTGACTCCAAGAACAGAGCTGCCCTCTGCCCTCACCTGGAGCAGCTTACCATGCTGAGCAGGAAGAGGGGGACCAGGGAGGAGTTGGGGAGGATCACAAAGGCCTGGACCTCCAGCTTCGGGGTGAGGGTAAGGCCTGTGGGCTGCATGTTCAGCTGTGGTGGGGTTGAGACGGAGACCTGGAGCTGCACCTTCATGTTGGGGAACATCTTGGCCACCTGCAGCGCCCAGTAGGGACAATCAACAAAAAAGGTTTACATTTCACACACATGTTCCTAAATTCTATCTTGCCCTTCCATGGCATAAGCACCTCCAGGGTCTTCCCATGTCTCTTAGAATAAATTCAAATAACCATGTGGTCTGGCACTGGCACCTGGCTGACCTCCCTCCACACCCCTCTGTTCCTGTCCTCCATTGCTGGGCACATGGAACTCTGTCCACTCCTCCAATGCAACAAGCACTCTTGCATTCTCTGTTCCCTCTCACTGGATGCTTGTCCATCATTCTTCCCTATTCTGGCTCTTTCTCTTCCTTCAGGTCTCAGTTCAAATGTCACCTCCTCAGAGAGCATTAGCGGCTTCCAGAAGAAATAAGGAGGGTCTTGGAGACCCTCCCTGCTCTCCGCTAGCTTCCTGTTCTTCCCCAGGTGAGCCCAGACTGAGTAAAACTAATGTAACTGTTGCTGGGCTCAGTGGCACATGCCTGAAATCTCAGCAACTTGGGAGGCTGAGGCAGGAGAATCTCAAGTTCAAGGCCAGCCTCAGCAACTGTCTCAAAAAAAAAAAAAGGCTGAGGATGTTGCTCAGTAGTAAAGCACCCCTGGGTTCAATCCCCAGTACTACTACTACTAATACAACTATAATGCAAAGACCACATCAAGACAATTCTCCCAGGACCTCTACCAGCCAAACGTCCCCCCCAACACCAGTACTTTCCTCTATATAAATTTCTTGAGATGCTGCCATGTTAGGGTTTGGATCTTGAATGTCCCCCCAAAGCTCTTGTGTTGAAAGTGTGATTCCCAAAGGCAGCCAGGTTCAGTTCAGGCATTGATTAGTGAGGGCTCAGACCTCATCAGTGGATTAATCCATTTGGTGGATCAATCCACAGATAACTGGATGGACTGCTGGGGGGTGAGACCTAGTTGGAGGAAGTAGGTCATGGAGGTTGCCCTTGTCTTAGCCCCTTCCTCCTCTCCCTCCCTCTCTCACCTTTCCGCCATGATGTTCTGCCTTGGGGCCAGCTGACCATGGACTGAAACCCAAAACCATGAGCCAATACAAATATCAGCCTCCTCCAAGTTGTCTTTCAGGTATTTCAGTGACAGTGACAAAAAGCTGACTAGTAGTAGAGAGATTGTTGCAGTGGAAAGTTTGTGTCCCCTTTCCCTAAACTCAAGTGTTAGAGCGCTGACCCCGGGTGTGGCTGTATTTGGAGACATGGCCTGTAAGGAAGGGAGTTTTGCTAAATGAAGGCACGTGCGTGGCCCCGGGCTCACGGAATTAGTGCCCTTATCAGAAGAGACCCCAGAGCTCTCCATCCACCCCTATGTGTGCCCTGAAGAAAGGCCACCCAAGTGCAGCAGCCACATCGCCAGGCATAAAATCTCCACCTTCTGTCTCCGCCGCAGTGAAGCAGAGCTCTGCTCTAGAAGCCACCGGGTGCCGGGTGTTTTGTCCCAGCAGCCTGAGTGGGCTCGTTCAGAGTTCTGCCGTGGCCACCTTCACCCAAGCCACCTCAGCCCCCTGGGTGTCACTTGTCACAGCCTGTCTCGTTTCTCATCATCTTGTGAACTTAGATATTTCTCTCTCCCCACAGGGTGGGGAGCTGCCGTGGGCAAGCACATGGTCTGATTTGCTGGGCACAGCTGGGCACGCAGTGAGCATCTGTCCAGTGGCTGAGTCCCCTGTCCCCCCACCCAGCCTCAGCCATGGGGAGCCGGGTGCCTGTCTCTGACCCAGAGGGGCTGCACGAAGCTGCCTCTGCCCTCAGTGGGGTTGCCTCTGGGTCTTGAGGGGCCTCAGCCTCTCCAGGAGCCCAGGCTACCTCGGGAGCGGAGGGCAGGAGAGCGAGCCCTTCATACCTGAGGAAGGACGTTTCCAAGGGACTTGGTTGTCAGTAGGAATTTGGATCCATTGGGCATCTATAGGGAGAGAGGAGAAACGGTCCTTGGGGATTCTGTTACAGGTGGGGTGGGGGGAGAGTGGCTATGCCAAAGCACAAAGCCCAGACCATAGGTGATAATAGCACCGTGACCTACAGCCTCAGCAGCCATCGGCCAGGTTGATAGATGTGGCCAGTGACTGCTAGGTCCCTCACTTCTTGCCCCTGAGAAGCCTCAATCTTTGGCCCAACTGAGGACGTGGGGCACCCCCTTGAGTCAGCTGCCCCATGCCAACCACAGCGCAGGGCTTCCCTGTCCTCGCCAAGATCCCCTCCCCACCCACCTTTGAACAAGTGTTGGGGTGGACTCTCTGCTGTGAACATTCAGCCTTTGGGGTCCCCACGTGGGTGGTCTCCATTAGTGTCCACAGTGAGCACGTGGGAGCTCACGTGCCTCTGGCACCCGGAATCTGATGTCTGGGGCAGGAGCAGCCCGAGGAGCCCCACTGGGGGGTGGCCAGGTTGGGGTCAGGCTGTCCCTAGACCCTGGAAAGGAGGGTCATTTCCTCACATATAGAGAGGTGACCTGAGCCGTGAGTTAGACTCAGCCATTGTGACAGAGACAATGAAGAGGAGGAGGGTTGTGCAGAAGTGAGGCTGAGACTGGGTTAGCCTCTGACCCTCCAGGTGCTCAGGATTCCTTTCTCATCACCTGCCCTGGGCGGGTGCCTCTGAGGCATCATATCTCATTTAACTCTCATGACGCTCTAGGGAGGAGGGTGCTATTATTGATGACAAAACTTAGCTTCAGAAAGGTTGAGTGAGCCCCCTAGAGTCACCCAGCTGTAGAGGACTAGAACCAGCAATCTAACTCAGGTCGGGTGAGCAAAGCTTCAAGTCCAGAAGGTGTGGCTCCTGCGTGCGCTCCGCTCAGTCTTACCATGTGGTCCTGGAGGGTGAGCTTCAGGGCTCCAGCCTCTTGGTACACGAGCCCGGCCGTATTGAAGAAGTAGTCGGAGATGCCCAGGTACACCATGCGGTCGTGGTCTTCGGGGAATGCCATTGCCGGCGGGGTGAAGGGAGGTGGGCTGCGGTGTGCCTGGCTGAAAAACTCCCCCTGGAGGTGGAGGGACAGGATAAGCCTCAGGAATCTTGCAGAAGGTCTAAGTCAGCATCTCCAGCCTATGGGAAGATGGGCTGAGGACCCCGCCCAGACCGAGGAAAAGCAATGACCAGAAAACTAACCACAGCAGCAGACTCCTCGTGGGGCTGATTTCCAGGAGCATGTCAATTGTGGAGGGTGCAGTTCTGCTCATCGTATGGGAGGGGACATGGAGGCACAGGGAGGTGAAGTTACTGGCCCAGATTCCCAGAGCTCAGGAATTGAACCCAGGCTCTCAGGGTCCAGTGCACACACTCTTGGATCCACCCCACGGAGCCCCGCAGAGCCCATCAGGAGAACAGAGAGGCTCTGCTTGTTTCCTGTTAGGGAATTTGAAAAGAGCTACACCAGTTGGAGTGCTGTGTGCATTTTAAGCTGACCCTGCTCCATTTTTGTGAGAGGGCTCCTATGTGGCTGGGGACCCGTGTTTATTTCTACAGAGCCATTTGATCACAGGTTACAAAAATAGATTGTTTATTTAGCTCGGGAAATAATGTTGAGCTTTGAAAAGCAAATTATAGAAGGATCCATAGGGTAGGAGACTAGCTATGTAAAATGTAAAGGTTGATGAAAATATAGAAACACTGGCCAGAAATAGACATGCCACTGTCAGCACGGGTCCCCGGGTGAGGGGTGCAGAGGCAGGTGGGCGGGGTTGGCAGGGGGTGGCCACAGGGGCCTGGGAAGTTATTTCCACAATTAAAAGAAAAAAAATCAAATAGGACAAAATGTCACATTTTTTCCAATCTGGGTGGTGCATACCTGGGACTGTACCATTCTCTGTGCCTTTAAAAGTGCCATCGTTGAAAATGAGTGGCCACAGTGCCCCTACTATGGGATACCACAGGACTCTTAAAAATAATAAGAACGGGCTGCGTTGTAGCTCAGTGGCAGAGCGCTTGCCTAGCACCTGTGCAGCCCTGGGTTCAATCCTCAGCACCATGTAAAGAAAAATGAAGAAAATAAAGCTAATAAAAAAAGAAGACGAAGAGAGACCTGTGTTCTGCCAGGAGCTATCTCCCACAGTTACTGTTAGGTGAGAAACGCAAGCAGGGTGGTCCTCAGCAAGACCTGAGTGTGGGTGCCTAGAACCTAGAACCCAGGACCGAGGCGGCTGACACCCCCACAGGAGCCCAGGAAGTAAACAGCCTTTCCCATTCACTGGGGTCATTACAAGTCGTTTTGGCCTTTTACCTCCATCTCATCGCTTACCCGTGTGTGTTTTAAGCATGCAGCCTGCGCCAGCAGCTCCACCGCTAGGAAGCATTTGAGAATGGGCAGAGACACAGCGGAGGACTGAAAGTCCAGGCAAAACCTGAACAACTCCCGCTCACCTCCCTCCCCAGCCCCTGGCTGGGCTTCACCTGCCCTTCCCTGCTTTCCTAGAGGTCACCTGCAGGACCTGCCCTTAGTTAACCTCTGGTGGTCTTCCCCTGCACCCAGCCCATAAATATGCCCACCCCCCGGTCCTCAGGGAGGCAGATTTGAGACTTGGGCTTGGGTCTTCCGTATCCCCCACACTCAGCCACCTCATGCATGATTCTCTTGCAAAACTCATCCTTCCGGTGGTGGCATACTGAGCAACAGGCAAAAAGGCCAGTGTGGGTAAGAACTGGTTAGGTTTGTGGGGAAAAAATGCAAAGAGTCCAGATGTCACAGGTGGGGGCCACTGTCCACACACCTTATCCCATGCTGTCCACTGGAAGATGGAACAGCCTATAAAAGGACATTTCATGGAGCTGGGCATGGTGCACGCCTGTCATCCCAGCGGCTCAGGAGGCTGAGGCAGGAGGTTTGCAAGTTCAAAGCCAGTCTCAGCAATTTAGTGAGACCCTGTCTCAAAATAAAAAAATAAAAAGGGCTGGAGATATGGCTCAGTGGTAAAGCACCCCTGGGTTCAATCCCCAGGACCAAAAAAAAAAAAAAGATGGTGTGGGAAGCTGCCCCTTTGTACATTTCTGTTCTGATGCTCTGGAAAGCAGTGTGTATACCATGACTTGTGCAAACACGTATGTGTGTGCATTTCTGTTTCTATATGTGTGACTTCGTGTTTCTGCGCCTGGGCGTGTGCATGCATTTTCCCATGCCTTGGTTTACACTTGCAGTGGGGCATCTGCACTTGTGCATTGATAGTGCTGGCTCTGGGTTGCAGGGTTTGGGTGATCTCCACCCCCTTTCTCTTCACCTCTCCATCCATTCCCTTCCCCTCCTTCCCTTCCTTCCTCCCTTCCTGTTTATTTAGCTCCGTTTCTCCATCTCTCTACAGTTCCTCAATTTTTTTTTTTTACATCAAATATGTTTTCGCCAAATGTAAACAAGGGAGCAAATCACCAGTCACAGAAGGACTGATGGAGCTCAAGCCGTCCAGAGTGAGTTTCAGAGGGTGAGACCCAGCCAGCTGGGTGGTGGGGACAGCTGCTCTGGGAGCCACAGCTAAGCAGAGACCTGCTGGAGTGGAGGCAGCAGCCAGGGCGGGTAGATGGCATTGTGAGGAGCAGGGGCTCAGGCAGAGGGAAAGCTAGGACAGAGACCCTGGGGTGGGAGCGAGAGCTGAGTGTGTCTGATTGTGGGTGGCGCACCAAGGGAAGTACCCAAAATGGGACTCCATTCATCCGTCCACCCAACAGATATGACTGAGCTCCTACTAGTGCCAAGCAGGTTCTAGGTGCTGCACATACAGTAATGAACAAAGTAGTCTCAGCCCCTTGTCTCTGGTCGTAGTGTGCGCGTGTGTGCGCGTGTGCATGTGTGTGTACACGCTAGTAATCAGCTCTGCTGAGAGAAAGCACTGTGTGGGAGAAGCAGAGGGGGGCGGCTATTTGAACAAAGACAGAAAGGAAGCAGGGGAGACTTGTGTGGATTCCTGAGGTGGGGGAGCACCCCCAGCAGAGGGACCCTCAAGTGCAAAGGCCCTGGGGGTAGGCAGAGTGTGTCTGAAAGAGCAGGAGACCTGCCTGCCAGAGGCGGGTGGCAGGGGAGCGTGGAGAGAGAGGGAGGAGGACAGGAAGCGGGGTGAGTCTGTGGGAGATTGCTATCCAAGGATTACGGGGGCTCCAGGGTGGGGACCGAGGTTGAAGTGTGACTGGATGTGACTCTTGGGGTCAGCCTCACCTTCAGTTGCCCGTCCAGGTTCTCAGCTGTGGTTATCGGAGGTGCCACCAGACGGTAGTCAATCCCAGCCACAGCATCTATTTGGGTGGTCACTAGAGGAGAGAGGATGGACCATGAGCTGGCTCCCAGCTGGGAAGCAAGGGCAGTGTCCCCTAAGCCTGGATCAAGACTGAGGTGCCACCTCCACTCCCCTCCTCCAGAGAGGCCTCCCTGACTCCCCTTAAAGGAAGTGAACCCTCACCCCACATTCACAGAACCGTCCCATGCCCTTCTTCCAACAGCCCCAGGATGAGTGACTCAACAAACTAACAAAAGATGCCCTACAGGGTGAGGGGAGAGACATAGTTGTGAATGGACTCTATGTGACCTTGAACAAGTCCTTGAGCTTCTCTGAGCCACTTTGGGTCATTTGTAACATGGGGGTGGTACCCGTCCCTTCAGGTGCTGGAGGAACAGGTGAGCAGGTGCCTGCCCCTGGCCCTGTCCATCACAGGTGCAGACTCCAGGAGGGATGTGTATCAGCAAGGCTTGGGTCTGCAGGGTCTCTCTGTTTCCCAGGTGACATCAATGAGAACTTAAATAAACACCAGCCCCTCCTTTTGCCCTTCCTGCCCAACCAGGGGAGACACTGAGGCTTAGAGATCCGGGGTGTCCTGGGGGACTCTGTGGGAGACTGAAGGAGCTGGGCTCCAACCTGAACCTGATCCTGCGTCAGGCCAGATCTCGATCTGCTCCTGCTCTGAGCATGCCAATGTGGGCCTTGGCAGAAGGAAAAGCATCTTGACTGATCACCTGCAGGCTCCGCGGGGAGGCAGCCCTGGTGGCCGCTGGAGCACAGAGGACGAGCTCCAGACAGGGATTCTGCAACCGTAAAGGCTTTGTGACCTTGAACAAGTCTGTGTTCCTGTCTGAACCTCCGTTTCCTGTTTCCTCATGGGAAGTGGAGAGAGTAGTGCCCGGCTGGGGGTGGGGGTGGGGAGGCTGAGTGTCTGTAATGTGGTGAACACTCACCAGAGGAGGTCCCCTGCCTGCCGCTGCTCTCGGCAGCTTGCCCAGGTCTGTCCCCATTTTAAGCTGTAGAAACCGAGGTCCAGAAAAAGTGACCAGTGTCAGATTTCAGGCCAGTTACTTAACTGTGGCCTCAGAAAGCTGGGGTATCTACCTGGGAGCAGTGGTGCACACCTGTGATCCCAGTGACTCGGGAGGGTGAGGCAGGAGGCTCAGAACTTTGAGGCCAGCCTCAGTAACTTAGCAAGACCCTGTCTCAAAGTAAAAAAAATAGAAAGGGACAAGGGATGTGGCTCAGTGGTAGAGCACCCCTGGGTTCAATCCTCAGTACTGGGGTGGGGAGGCAAACTGGGGTATCTGGCCTTTTGGCCCCTGCTGGGCTGGGAGAATGGGCTGTTCCATCTCACATCAAGGACCTGGCTCAGTGCCACTGCAGATTGAAATTAGCTCTGTCCCTTCCCATTCAGGACCAGGCCTGTCACACCCACTCTGCCTCCCTCCCCCTCCCCTTTATATTCCTTTCTATCCTCAGTCTCCACCCAGTTCTCACCTGGAAAATTCTTGACATAAGCTTGCAGCTTGGTGGACACAGAATTGGCCACAAACTTGCAGATCTAGGGAGAACCAAGGAAGGAACCTGTAGTGGGAAATGCTCTTTGGACACAGTGGTGCAGAGACATGCTGTCTTGGTTCATTTTCTGTGCTGTAGCAAAACACCTGAGACCAGGTAATTTAGATAGATAGATAGATAGATAGATAGAAGGTTATTTAAATCCCAGTTCTGGAGGCTGTAAAGACCAAGGGTGTCGCACTGGGCTCTGCCTGGGGAGGCCACCAGGGAGGACCTTCTTGCTGCATCCTAACATGGTGGGGGGCTTCACATTCCCAGACAGAGCCAGCATTCCAGCTGAGGTCCCTCCACCTCTTCTTATAAAGCCACTGTTTCATCATGAGGGCCCCGCTCTCAAGTCCTCATTTAATCCTAATTCCTTCTCAAAGGCCGCGCTTCTAGACACCACATGAATGTCCTCCTGAAAATCATGTTGCTAATCAAGTTTCCCTTTCTCCTTTCTGTGCACCAGGAAGCTCAGAGTTCAGCAGGCAGCTTAGAAATAACAACTGCATACAGTCGTGTGACCTGCATTCGGTTTCCCTGGTGTGGCCCTTCCCTGATGAATTTTAGGTTTTCTGTGTTGTAAGGTGGGGTTCTTTGTTGATGGCTGTCTTGTTTTTCTTGCGTCTGTTTTTATGGTCTCAGATTCTTCATGGAATGAGGTGGTGAAGACACAAAAACACGAGGTAGCGTTATGATTTGTATCTGGAATATGCCCTGAAAAGCTCACGTGTTGAAAGCATGGTCCCCAAATTCAGGAAGGTTTAAAGGTGAAGCTTTTAGGCAATGATGAGAACTGTAACCCCATCCGTGGATTAATCCATTGGCTAGACTAATAATTTGAAAGGACTGCTGCGTGGTAACGGTAGGCAAGCGGGGCGTGGCTAGAGGAACTAGTCTCGGGGACATGCTCTTGAGGACTGTTAGGGTTTGGCTGTGAAGTGTCCCCCAGAAGCTCACCTGTGAGAGAATGCAAGAAGGTTTGGAGGAGAAACGATTGGGGTGGAGTCTTAGCCAATCAGTGACTCAATCCCCTGACTGGGATCAGCTGATTGGTAGCTGGAGTGGAAGGTGTGGCCGAGGGGGTGGGAGCTGGGGGCGTGGCTTGGGGTATATATTTGCATCTGGCCAGTGGAGTCTCTCTGCTCCTCACCACCACGAGAGCTCTTCCTTCCGCCACCCTCTTCTGCCATGGTGTCCTGCCTCCCCTCCAGACCCTAGAATGGAGCCTCCAAACTTCAGGCCAGGTGCCTGCTCCTCATCTCTGCCTGCAGCCAAGTCCGTCACTTAAACTGGGACCACAGTGACTGCCCGCCCTACATGCACCTGGCCGGGCTCATCCCGCTTGAGACTGAGGCAGGATTTGCAGCCGCCTGTGTCAAAGTCTCCAGCAGCTGCCCACCCCGGCGGAGCCAGGGGGCTCATTCCTAGGATGGACTGTCCCCCCACCCCCTGCCCCAGGCCAGGCAGGAGCAACTGTCCCGCGGGAAAGGAACTGTCTGTCCACGGGTGGGACTGGAGACTGCAGTGCCAAGTGGAATAAGCCAGTCCCCCAAATCCAAAGGCCGAATGTCCTCTGTGACACACGGAGGCTCACACACAACAAGGGGGGCGGGGCTGAGGGGGAGAACATAAGTTCATTGGATCAGACAAAAGGGAATGAAGGGAAGCGGGTAGGAAAGGCAGTGGAGCCACTGGGACCCAACTCTCCCATGTTCATGTGGGAACGCACGACCCCGGCAACCCCACACCGGCGACAACCACAGGCATGGGAGTTCGGCTCTGCGCTTGTGTACCATGTCAAATGCACGCTACTGTCATGGGTAGCTAAAAACAACAAATGAAAAAAAAAAAAAAAAAAACACGGAAATGAATGGTCCCCTTCCAATATTGCAGGTCTGACAGATGCATCCTGAGCAGCAAGTGGAAACTGTCCCCTCAAGTGACAAAAGGCTTCCCTGGAGCCACCTCACAGCACTAGAAGTGACCATGACCCACCAGAACACACTGTGACCAGGCCTGCGTCCTCCTGCAGCCCTCTGGTTAAACCCACTAGTTAAACCCCCAGCTCCCGTCAGCGCCCCCAGGACCCTGATGTGACACGGGCTCTCACGCTCCTTAATCAGCTTCTCTCCATCACCTCTCTGTCTGCTCTGGGGAGTCAGAGGCCAGACCTGCTCTGCGGGACCCTGGAGTCCTGTCTCCTGCCTCAGACTCTAGTGACGAGAGGTGTGTGGCCTCCCTCTCCGGCCCCGCCTACCTTGCTGTTCAAGGTGTTTCGAAGAGACGACTCGATTTTCTTATGGAAGAGTTGAATCAGCCACCTAGGGGTTGACATGTAGGGACACATGTGTGGCTTCCAGGTGTCCCTGAGCTGGACTCAGGAGGTGCCTCACCTGGGAAGTCTTCCCCCTCCTCCAAACAGGCCTTGGCACCCTCAGCCCAGGCACCTATTGAGCACCCCCCATTGGACATGTCTCCCCCTGTTTGTAGTAATCTGCTATGGGGTTAGTTCCTTGGTAGCTGCACAGCCAGGCCCCTGCCCCCATCTCAGTCCCCTTCCTCACCACTGCCCCACTACTCTGCACATTGGTCTGCCCTATCCTCTGTGACCTATACTTCCTCCCACCCCAGTACCTTTGCACATGCTGTTCTCACCACTGCTTAAAACACCCCCCCTCCATCCCTAACATCTGCCTAATTAACTCCTACTTAATCCTTTTTATCTCAATTCAACTGTCATTTCATCCAGAAGAACCAGCCAGCCCAGTTCTGAGTCTGTTCTTCCTGTTCTGTGTTCACTGCGTGTTGTACTCTTCTTCTTAGTTTTTATCTCCTTTTGTAATTACAGGTGAGCCATTCATAAATGCAATGGTGTAATTAATGTTTGTCTCCTCCATTGAGCTGGGAACATTAAGAGATCAGGGCTGTGTGGCCGAGTCTGGGACAGAGAGTCCTGAATTGAACACTGACAAGCTGCAGAAGTAGGCCACTTCCCATTCTTTCTGTGCCTTAGTTCCCCCCCCCCCCCCCCGAAAATGGGGTAATAATCGACCCACATCATCAAGTCACTGTGTGCACTGACTGAATACAGTAGGTGCCACAACAGCACCTGGCCCACAGGAAGCCTCCACTGGATGCTCCGTGTTACCAAGTTTTGATGAGGCACCCCTGTTTCCTTGTGTGCCGTCAGGGTCTGGTGCACCCCTGATTCTCAGTAGATATCTGTGGAATGGACGATGCACTGTGCCCACACACTTGGGGCCAGGTCCTTCAGCACAGACAGAAGGGGCTCGGCACAGGCCCGGGGCATGGGAAGGGCCTGTAGCCTTGAGGCAGGGACAGTGTCTGCTTCACCTTCCCCGTGACCCACCCTCCCAGGCCTCTGGACCAACCTGGAGTGGGGAGGGCCCTGGAGGTGTTTCCTAGACTCGGGGAGGAGGGGACGGCTCTCCTCCCGTCCCTCCTCCCAGCCAAGCTCCAGGAAGCCCTACCCCACGGTGCTGCCCCAGATGCGCAGGCGGGTGTTGCTGATGTGGCTGCTGCAGCTGGAGCAGGCCACCGTGATGTGGCCGGAGGTGGGGTCACTGCCCAGGTTCAGAAAAGCCGAGATGGAGACGCCTTCTATGCTCAGGTCAAACTTGCCACTGGCTGAGCTGAAGGGAAACAGAGAAGCGGCTTGAAGAGGGTGTTTTTCCCCCTCCATACTTACACGCACACCAGGGCTGGAGGTGGGCTTCCCTGGTATCCACACTCCAAGGCAGAGGGGACAGGGCACAGAGAGGAGGCACCTTGCCCAAGGTCACATAGCTCTGAGCAGTAGAGTCAGGATTCTAACCTGACTTCTGGACCCCATGTCTACCTGGCAGATCCCTCAGCCACTGCCCTTGCTGTGTGACTTTGGGCAGGTCTCTTAACTTCTCTGAGCTTCTATTTTCTCATCCAGACCCTGGACCTTGAGGCAGGAACAGTGTCTGCTTCACCTTCCGAGTGGCTCACCCTCCCAGGCCTCTGGACCAGGCCTGGAGTGGGGAGGGCCCTGGAGGTGTGTTCTAGCAGTCGGACACTAGAGTATGTGTCTCAGTTTTGTCACTAAAATTCTGAGTGTTTGCAGCCACCGACTTCAGGCAATTACTGCCCCCATTAATGAATGAATGAGGCCAATAACTCCTCCCTCAGGGATGGAATGGATTTTAGATAAGAGTGCACTTATCTGTCAATGCTTGTGTGATGCATTATTATTATTATTTTTTAATCAATATGTGAAATGAGAGATGCAAAAGAGCCAGGGGGCCAAGAACTGGGTGACTGTTCTGGAGGGGAGTGGCAGACCCACCAGTCCTCCCTTCACCTGGTGTGGCTTCTCTTGCAGTTTGGTCTGGGCCATAATGACTATCGGGCAGGCTCCTGTGTGTCAGGTGGTGGGGATCAGTATGTTTTCTTGCTCTTGATTTGAGGTTGGCCAGGTGACATGCTTTGGCCAATGAGATATGAATAGAAGTGACTGTGGGCCATTTCATAGCCTAGGTCTTCAGAGGGCCTGCCTGGATCAGCCAAGCGCCAGTTAGTGCACAGATGCATGATTTTTTTAAGCCACTGGCCTTGGAATGTTTTGTTACAGGGCATTAGCTAGCTGATGAATGAAAAGCCCCGTTTGACTTCCCACTCTGAGCCATAGGACCAGGGGCCTCGCTGTGTTCCACGTTGAGATAGACAAATGCTCAGCTTTCCACGGAGCGTTATGTTAAATCATCTTAGGTGAGAACTTCCCGCGGAGGAACTCTGTGGCTACAAATAGTAATTTGGGCAAAAGTACGGCATTGCCTGCCCCCTGGATCTCATCCCTTCCCAAATCACTCAGAGTGCACCCAACAAACCCCAGGTGTAAGACGCACAAGAAATTCTTTTTTCCCTTCCACTTCCCACTGATCTTCACATTGGCTTTGCTGATGGAGAGTCTGAGGCCCACCTGGGGCTCCAGTCTTATCTGGGGACTGGGAAGCTGGAATCCGAGGATGGTCATGCTGCAAAGGAAAAAAGTTCAGTCAGCTTCCTGGGTGCCTGTCTGGGGACGCAGCAAAGCCCTTCACCCTACCCGTTCCAGAAGGAGCCATGAGCTCTGAGAACAGTCTTGGGGATACCTGGGCACAGGAGTGGCTTGGGCTTCAGAGGCAAGACACACCTGCATGTGACTCTCAGTCTATAATGTCCTGTTGTGTGAACCTGGGTCTATCATGTAGTTACCCTGAGCCTTAGTTAGTGTCCTCATTTGTAAAATGGCACAGCCACCTCTGTTGTGCGGTGTGTGTGTGTGTGTGTGTGTGTGTGTGTGTGTCTATCAATGAAGACACCAAATGTTAAGCTACTGACTATGTGTCTCTGTAAAGGGTAGAATGTGTGGTCTCCACTATAGCCCCAGAGCCTGCTCTTGATTTGAGGTTGGCCAGGTGACATGTGTGAGACACACAGTAGGTGCTCAAACTATTCGTTGAATGAATGGGGTGTGTAACACTGTAGACAACGTCTTCTGTCACTATCCCCAACCTCTGGTGATAACAGAACTGCCTCATTCTGCTTTGGGGGACCTCCTCCCATAGCTGTTCCCTGCCTCTCGGAAGAGAGTTGATGTCCACATTCAGGAGGTGGAGCTTGTAACTTAAGCTTAGCCAATGAGTGGAGTCTGTTCCCCTGGCCACAGCGATTGGTTCAGGGGCAAGTACATGACCTAAGACAGGCCAATCAGAACGAGCCTTGGGGTTTTGCTTGAGTTCTCAGAGAAGGCCCTGTTCTTCAGGGACTGAGAGTGCTGAGGCGGTCAAGTGAGAGTTACTGGGGGCTACCTTGTCTCTGGAGAGGGCACTGTGCCCCAGAATTAGTCCTCTCCGAGAACATGATGCTGCGCTGAGATGGCAAGAGAGAAACAGGGTCCTGTGACATTTGAGCCTGGCTCAAGCCGAACCTGAAGTGTCAGATAAGACCAGACTTTGCAATCATATGAGTTCCTAACTTCTGGTTTGGGTCATTTGAGATCAGTTTTTTTTTTTTTTTGTACCAGGGATTGAACTCAGGAACTCAACCACTGAGCCTCAGCCCCAGCCCTTTTTAAAAAATATTTTATTTAGAGACAGGGTCTTGCTGACTTGCTTAGGGCCTTGCTAAGTTGCTGAGGCTGGCTTTCAACTCTTGATCTTCCTGCCTCAGCCTCCCAAACCTCTGGGTTACAGGTGTGCGCCACCACACCTGGCAAGATTAGACTTTTTGTCTTTGAAACTCCCCCAAATTCTGATACATGGACCTGACAGAGAGTTTTAGGGTTTACTACATATCCCCTGGGAGTTGCAGAGAGTTCCGGAAAGGCAGCTTTTGCAGCTTCCTCTAGAATTGGCTTGGGGAGGGGGGATGGCATCCTGTTGGGAATGGTGTCAACACTGGCTTTGGGATCCCAGACTCCAGGAGTTGAGGAGCTTGTGGCTGTGGTGGCCCCAGGAGAGTCCTGCCTAGTGAGGGCTAGGCGTGGACAAGCCTCACCTGTAGAAGCTGTAATACCCTTTCCCCAAGTGTTGGATCTTAAAGTTTCCAGAGAAGTCAGGAATCTTGATCTTTTCCAGCTCCTTCTGTAGCATGGCTACTCCCTTCTGGCAGGCTGAGGGGAGAGAACAGGGTGGGCACAGTCAGGGGCACAGCTTGGGAACTGGAGTGGTAGATCAGGGTGGCTCTGGACCCTTGGTCCCTGTCCATAGCAAGGACAGCAGGACTGGAAGGGTCTAGAGCAGGCGTCCATGATGGTTTTCTACAAAGGGCCAGTTAGTTGATAGTTTCAGCTTTGTGGTTCATACTGTCTCTGGCATAGTTATGCCACTCTAATGTCACTGAGCAGACGCAGCCACAGACAGTATCTAAATGAATAAATGTGATTCTGCTCCCAGATTTTACTTATGGACACTGGAATTTGCATCTCATACAATTTTCACATCGCTAGAGTGGGCTTGTTTGCCAATGTGACCAAAAGACCCGGTGAGAACAAATTTAGAGGAGGAAAAGTGTATTTGGGGCTCACGATTTTAGAGGTCTCAGTTCACAGACAGCCGACTGCATTGCCCTCAGCCAGAGGTAAGGCAGGACCTCAGGAGGGCAGGGTGTGGTGGAGGAAAGCCGCTCAGGACATGGCCACTAGGAAGCAGAGAGAGTGGTGCTCACCAGGGACAAAATACCTCAAGGGCAGGCCCCCGGTGACCCACCTCCTCCAGCCACACCCTACCTCCTTCAGTGACCACCCAGTTAATCCATACTTGAGGATTAAGCCACTGATTAGGTTACAACCTTTGCAATCTGAATGTCCCTGCATTGTCTCACACATGAGCTTTTGGGGGACACCTCATATCCAAACCAGAGCACACAAAATGTGAGATATTATTCTCTCTCTTTTTTTTAGTTGTAGATTCACACAATACCTTTAATACTTTTATTTCATTTATTTTTATGTGGTGCTGGGGATCAAACCCCGTGCCTCACACCTGTTAGGCAAGTGCTCTGCCACTGAGCCACAACCCGGCCCCTAAGGTGATATCTTATTTGACTTTTTCAACTGTTTAAAAACATAAAAACCATTTTTGGATCATAGGACAGACGGAAATCTGTAACAGGCTACATTTGTCCCATAGGCTATAGTTTGCTGGCCTCTGGTCTCAATGTCACCCCAGGCAACTGGTGGGGGCCATCAGCATTCAGTACACAGCGGCTCCATGCCTTGGTCTGCACTCTGCTCTTAGGGACCCCGGGACTCTGGCTTTCTGATTCTCTCCACAGGCTCTTTGCACATGCCTTTCCTGCTGTCGTGGACACTTTTTCTCCCATATTCACCTGGCCAACTTCTAGTCAGCTCAATCATTGCTTCCTTCCAGAACCTTCTTTGACCCAGTGGAAGAGAGAAACACCCCCTCCCCATTATCATAGTCACAATGCCATGATACTCCTTCAGAGACCACATTACCATTTGTAATCACACATTTATTCATGTGACTCTGATTCATGTCTTGTTCCCGTGCTAGATGTAAGCCCCACCCCCCCAGGTTAGCGGAAATGTCAATTTTATTTATTAACGCATCTCCTACATTTACCACAGGGCCTGGCACTTAATATTTGTTGGATAAATAAATGCCCCAAGGTAGGGGTTCTGCCATCTGTTGTTATGTGGCTAAGAGCGTAGAAGAACTGATTAACACAAACACGCTGCCTGAGGGGATGGGGCGAGGGAGGCTTGCTACCCAGGCCTTAGTTTCTCAAGAGCCAGTTTGGCCATAACAACAACAATGTCGCAGTGTTCAAGCTCTTCTCTGTACCAGGCACTCTGGGCTGTGCACACGTATTGAGCTATTGCATCTGAAACAATCCCGGGAGAAGAAGTCCTGTCCCTGCTCCCATTTCATAGATGAGGAAGCGGAGGCTCAGGAAGGTATGAGCTCTGTTCAAGACCACACGCCTGACAAGTAGAGAAGACAGGACTTGAACTCAGCCCTTCTAGTCACAGAGCCCTGGGGTAAGCCTTCTTGGTGCTCCGAATTAAGCAATGCATATGTGGTCACAGCCCAGAAGGGAAAGAAAATATGGGGTGGCCAAAGTCTGTAAGTTCACAGGAGCCAAGGCCTTGAAGGCTCTCAGATGCAGGCCAGAGAGTCAGGGTGGCTTCTGAAGACCCTAGGGAGCCACTGAAAGGGGGAGCAGGACTCTACATGATCAGATTTGCTGTATTTCAGAAAACTCACATGGAGCATGAGTAGAAGGGGAAACTGACCGAGCACAAGGACTTCTGGTTTTGATACCCTCAGGTGAGCCTCTGCTCCCCGGAAGCCTTCAGGAGCGCCCCAGCTCTGGGATGCACAGGGCCATCCTCCTTCCTCCTAGCTCACGTGGGGCCTCCGTTGGCACCCTGGGACTTGGAGATGGCTTGCCTGGGCTGAGGTCCTGTCCTGTCATTCCCCAGTGGTACACCAACTGGTGAGGACCTGTGTTCCCCTTGCTCTGATTTCTCTGGTACTGGGGATCCCCCTCACACCTGCAGTTCATCTCTTTGCCAATGGGAGGCAGCATGGAGCAGCCCCAGGCTGGGGCATTAGACAAAACCAGGCTGCTTGCTTCTTGCGTGGCTCTGACTCTCAGGTTTGCTGGCCTGTAAACACTGATAAATAACAGCAAGTCCCACCCACGGTGGAAGTGAGGATAAATGAGACTGCATGGACAAAGCTCCCAGCCCACGTCAGAGCAGGGCATTCACTCTATTCTCTCCTCCTCTGGCCCTGGATGAATGGCCTGCGGGAATCCTCTCAGGGTCACCCAGACATGTTGGGCCCAATATGGCTGCCAGCCCCTGCACTGTGGAGACCACTAAGGAGGGACCCTGTCCGCACACCTCTCCAGTCTTCTCAGCAAATAGAGGCAAATGGACTTTGGAAAGGAGGAAGGTCCTAGAAACCTGAGTTGGGGTGGGGTCAGGGAGGGACTTGTGCACACTCAGGGGCTTGGGCACTAGACTTGGAACCTTCTAGACCAGTGTTTCAGTCCCAGCCCTGCCCCTTCCCAGGCCTGGGGTCTCCGGCAACTCACTTTGCCACGGTTTCTTTGCAGGTTAAACAAGGGTGAGAGGCCTACCCTGCAGAATGGTGAGGACCAGGAAGTGCTCAGGAAGGACTCCTCAGGGGTGGGAGAGGAGGAAAGGAGGGCATCCAATTACCGTAGTCCAGGCCCTTCTGGGAGATCCTGGTCAGGAGGCCAGGGTTGGTGGCCGCTGTCACAGCTGTGCCCATGGTGGTCAGCACTACCAGGATTGCCCACTGTGGCATACTGTCAGGGCCCCTGGCCATTCCTCCTTTGTCCTCCAGGGCTGGCAAAATGTCAAGGCTTTGGAGGAGAACCAGAGACCTACAGAGGAGGCGGCCGGAAAAATGCAAGTCGGTAGCAAGGAGGAAGGAGCTGGTTGGAGGTGGAGAGAGGGAGGGCAGCCGCGGTGCCCCACTGAGTCTGCCGCAAGTGGAATCTGAGAGCCTGCGGTGCGGGTGCACGGGTGCGTGTGAGCTTGTGTGTGTGTGAAAGGGGGTCTGGGAGATCTGGGTGGTTCTCCTCCCTGACCCCCGCCATCCCCTGCTCTGAGCCCCCAACCAAATTCCCACATTCAAGGACTTCCTCGAAGCTGGGTGGTGGGTACGTTAGAGTTCATAATATTCTTCTTTCTACTTTCAATTTCTTGGGTATTTTTCATACTAAAACATTGAAGAAAACAGATTCTTTGGTGCTTGGTGTCCTCAGAAGCTGTAATGGTAATGATTAAATGCTCACTTTTTTTTTTTTTTTTGGATTAGTTTCTTGACTGTGGTTTTAAATCAGAACTCTGCCACTCCCTGGCAATCTGACTATAGGCAAGCCCATTAGCCCACTCTGAACCTCAGTTTCCTTTTCTGAGGGGCATAGTAGTGCCTTCCCACTCTAGATCACTAGGAAGACAGAATGAATGAGTTTTAAACCAGGATAATACATTCAGCATGGTATTATCATAAACAGCCAAATGCCAGCTATTAATGTTACTCTGACTTCAAGTCATCCATGTTCTTTGGCCAAAATTTAAGAACGATCAAGAGAATAAAAATTACATGGAATCCCATCTTCAAGAAGCAAGCAGCAGCTGGGCGTAGTGGTAATCCCAGTGGCTCAGAGGCTGAGGCAGGAGGATCGCGAGTTCAAAGCCTCAGCAAAAGCCAGGCGCTGAGCAATTCAGTGAGTCTTAAAAAAAAAAAATACAAAATACAAAATAGGGCTGGGAATGTGGCTCAGTGGTGGAGCGCCCCTCAGCTCAATCCCCAGTATTTCCGCTCCCCCCAATAAAGAAGCAAGCAGAATCGTGTTCTCTCTTCCTCCCTTTTCTTTTTGGAAAGCATACACAGATGGTTGTGTTTGTCTGTCTTTCTAACAATCAAACATAGGATCGCGCCGGTCACTTTCGGAAAGTTTCTTTTGATCAACAAACAGGTGGCCCTTCTTCCGGGCTTTCAGCATTCGGTTGCTTCCTCACCCCTCCTTTCCATCCTTCACCCCGCGGACAGCTGCAGAACCCGGGCTTCGCAGGGGGAGGCGTTCTTCCCGTGGACACGCGGCTCGGCAGGGTTGGGAGCCAAACCCGGTGGCACCGGGCACCAGCCTGAGTCGCGCAGCCCGTGGGGGTCGAGGGGGTCGAGGGATCCGGGCAGACTCCGCGCCCCGCCCCAGCTCCCCGCCCTCGCAGGGCTGCAGCTCCGGGCTGGGTGGGAGGGATCCCCCAGGGCAGCGCGCGGTCTCCGGTGTCTGTCCCGCTGGGTCCCCAGCAGCCCCCCGCGCCCCGTCTCTCCGACTCTGATTTTATGAAAGTCTAATGAACCCTTCTGAGCCCAGGACGAGAGACCTCGGGAGGGGTGCTTTTCTTTTTCTTCTTCCGGTGGTTCTACCTGGGTTTCCCTCCCAGCTCCGTCCACCTGGAGGCCCGGGGCTTGTGCGCCAGGCGTTGGCCTGCACTGTCTCCAGGGCTTACAGCAACTGAGGGATAGGGGGACAGTTCCTCCTTTCAGAGAGGAGGAAACTAAGGCACGGAGTGATTAAGTCGCTGTCATGGTCACTCTGATTTTCAGGGAGCCAAAACTCCTACCCCTCTACCTTGGGGCCATCGCCAAGGGCACTTGCCACCCTGGGTCCCATCCCAGTTCTACCTTCCTGCAAACAACCTGGGCCTGCATTTGTACAAGGACAATCGTTCCAAGTAGCAACCAGAGCAGAAAGATCGTGACTTGTCATAAAATAGGTTTTTGAAACATAATCTCTCACTTTTGAACCTCTCCAGTTCTTAACTGTCCAAAGTCCCTGAGTGCCACCCCCCATCCCCAGGGCCCAGCAGATATCGAATCCGTGAAGGTGTCAGTCAGGAAAAGAGCATTAAGATGAAATCCCAGGATGATGACTTTCGTGGCTATAACATTAGGGTCTTAAACCGATTCTGAACAAGCCACCTCCACTGGCTTCCCCATTGCCCATGCCCGTGAAACCTATCAAGTCCCTCAGTGACCCTCCTTTCCAGTCCCCTTTCTCAGTGTTGCCCTGGCCAAGGAGACGCCTCACTGCTCCAGATCTGACCCTCTATCCTGTCTCAGTCTTCAACCCAGGCAACAGAATCCAGCTCACATCAGCTTCTATAATGAGCACATTTATTATCTCAGAGAAGTCTGTCTCGAGGGAGGGGAGGTTTGAGACTCTCTTGACACAGCACCTAACTGACTCCACCAGTTCATCTCTCCATCTCTGCTCTGCCTTCCCAGGGGTTCAGATTGGCCCTCTCATTGGCTTCTTTCTTGGTTACAAGATGGCTGCAGCGGTACTATCACACCTAAACCGCTTCTTCCTAAGTCTCCTTCTCCTCTTCCTTTTTGGTTCTTTTTGAAACTTACTATAAACTATTTAAAACATCTAGATAAGGGGCTGGGGATGTGACTCAAGTGGTAGCGCGCTCGCCTGGCATGCATGCGGCCCGGGTTCGATCCTCAGCACCACATACAAACAAAGATGTTGTGTCCGCCAAAAACTAAAAAAAAAAAATAAATATTAAAAAATTCTCTCTCTCTTTAAAAAAAAATAAAACATCTAGATAAGAATAAAATATCTACATTTGTAAAATCTTAACATTATGCCATATTTGCTTCATTCTTTTTTGATCCTTTAAGTTTATTAGTGTATTATAGTTATATATAATAGCTGGGTTCATTTTGACAAAATCATATGTGTATGGAATTTCATTTTCTCCATTTCAGTCCTCCATCCCCCTCCTTTCCCTTCCCTCCTCCTTCCCCCTATTCTCCTTCCTCTGCTCTACTGGTCTTCTTTTCACTTATTTAACTAACTAATTTAATTTTTTATTAGTTTTTGCACTGGGGATTGAACCCAGAGGACTTCTCCACTGAGTTTCACCCCTAGCTCTTACTTACTGACTGATTTGAGACAGGGTCTCACTAAGTTGCTTAAGGCCTAGCTCAGTTGCTGAGCCTTAGCCTTGAACTTGCAATCCTCCTGCCTCAGCCTCCCAAGTCCCTGGGATTACAGTGGTGTGCCACTGTCCAGCCTCTCTATTTATTTTTGATTGGTGATTTATAGATATACATAAAGGTAGAATTCACTGTGGCATATTTATTTATGCACTTAGCATGATTTTGTCAAATTCATTCCACATTTTAGTCCTATAGATTTTAACACCTGTATAGATATATGTAACCGGGACCACAATCAGGATATAAAATAGTTCCACCATCCCCTCAAACTCTCTCCAGCCATCCCAGCTCAACTAAGAGTTGGTTGTCTCAGCAGGAACTCATGGATGGGGTGGTCAACAGCTGACTGGTCCAGGGCTGTTTCTGTCCACTCCCCTGCTCTCTGTCCTTATTCTGTTGACTTTTGCTAAAATTGGGGTGAGAGTCGGGTAGACCTGGGTTCTTGGCCCCAGTCATGTTTTCTGCTCCCTGGATGAGACTGGTCCAGTTCCTTGCCCCTTCTGGTCCAGTGCCCATTTCAAGATGGGGAAACTGCCCATGGATGGGGTTGTTCCTACAGTAAAGTGAGATAACAGGTGTGAACCAATTTGCACTGACAGGTGCACAGTTGGTCATCAGGGTTCAACCTTGGTCAGGAGCTGGGTGGGGAGCGAGGCCCAGGCCTTCAGGAAGCACTCCAAGGCACTGCAGTGAGCTCCTGTCCTCAGACCTCTGGGGTTGGGCTAATCAGTGCAGATATAGAGGGAATCCATGGCTTGTGTTGCCCGGTGAACCCTCCACTTGGTGATGGAGGAGAAGCAGCCATCTCCTGTCTTCAGCGGACCCTGGCAGCGTAGCAGAGCAGCTAAGGATGTGGTGGTGGGACTTACCATCCTGGGCTCAAGCCTCACTTCTGCCTCCTGCTTGCTGGGTGCCTTTGAGCTTGCGGCTGACCCTTGCTGAACTTCCGTTTTCTCCCTTGTCCCCATGCTCCATGCTTAGATGAGGTCTGCTTCTACAGACCTGCATGCTCAGCTTTTCTGTGAGGCCATCCCTGTGGCCTGTGGAGGCCTCAGGCCTCTCCCTCTGTCTGGGCCCCTTGACTCTCCAGCCTTTCCCTCCACCAACCTCCCGGGACCCAGTCCTCTGAAACCTGCCTTGTTGTGGGCATGTCTTGGGCACTTCTGTGACCCAGGGTTGAGGAGGCAGGGGCAGGAGGGATGGGGTGGATCCTTGGGGTGAAGTAGGGAGAGGAACAGGCCTCACAGGGATCTGGACTCATCATGGGTGAAGAGGTGTCTCCAGAGAAGTGTCTGAGGAGTTCCCGGGGAGAAGAGAGAGCTTGGCTCAGGAGCTGCAGGGTTCCCAACGTATGTGACAAAGAGAATTCTAGCGTGCTCCGGGCAGAGCCACAGAGAGGGGTTTCCTTAGGAAAGCAGTTACACTTTCAAGGGGGGACATGGCCATTGGAGAGTAGGAGATGCTTCTTGGGGTTCCTGACTCTTCTTTAAAAGGAAACCCGGTGAGGGGTGGGTATAGGATGGATGTAGGAATGACATCAGTCTGGTGGTCTCAAGACACGTTGTGGGGTCTGGCCAATCTCAGGATCCTCAGGCTGAAGTGGTCTCCATTATCTGATTAGTAGATGGTTCTGGAAAGTCCCCTCGTTATGAGCTTCTCAACATGTTGTATCTCTCTTTACTTAATCTATTTATGGGGGATGTTAATTAACAGCACATAGGTAGGTGTACAGATTTCCCAGACCTGGAAAGGGAGCCAGGCTTAGGGAGTGACAGGGCTGGAAATGTATGTAGAAATTCTCCATTAAAATGGTATTTCCTAGACCCTTATCTCACCCTGCACAAAATCCAACTCAAAATGGATCAAAGACCTAGGAATTAGACCAGAAGCCAGGCAACTCCTAGAAGAAAGCATAGGGTCAACCCTCCAGCATGTAGACACAGGCAGCGACTTCTTCAATGAGATGCCCAAAGCTCAGGAAAAAATGCCAAGAGTTAATAAATGGGATGGTATCCAGTTAAACCCTTCTGCACAGCAAAGGAAACAATTAGAAATGTGAAGAGAGAACCCACAGAATGGGAGAAAATCTTTCTAGTTGCCCTATTGACAGAGGATTAGTATCTGGAATAAATAAAGAACTCAAAAAAAAAAAATACCACAAAATCAAATAACCCAATTATTAAGTGGGCAAACAAATTAAAGACTCTTCTCAAAAGAAGAAATACAAAGGGCCAGCAAATACAGAAAAAAGTGGAAAAAATGTTCCACACCATTAGCGATTAGGGAAATGCAAGTCAAAATATACTGAGATTTCATTTTATACCAGTCAGAATGGCAG